GTAAAAATGCAGGGTGCAGAGAGATGAGGAGTGGAAGACCCCCCACTAAACCAAGCAGCCCCAGGAATGGTTCACTTCGGGAAGATGTTGACAGAATATTTGAGATGGCTGAAAAGACTCATTGCTGCCCAGCAAGGTCGATAGGGAGAGAAGGGAGCTACCCGACCCTCCCCCGCTACCACAAATTAAGCCACCGCTGCAGCGAGAGGATCCCGAGCTACCCCGGTACAAGCCTGCTCATCCACAGTACCACCCGGTACCACCGCCGCATTATAATCCGGTGTCCCAACCACAGTACTGCCCGACACCGCCACAATATAATCCAGTTCCCCCACCATACCAGCAAGTGCCACCATAGTGCCCCCCAGTCTATCCTCAGCCCGGCCCAGTCCCCCTTCCGCGGGACCCAGCTTCTTCCTTGATTGACCCGGGCTACGTAGAGAGGTACAAGAGACTAAATTCTTCCACTTTTGCAGGGAAATCTTCTTTTGAAGATGCCCAGTACTAGTTGGCAGAGACGGAGAAAGCTTTCAAGACCCTAGGAGTGGTTCCCGAGCAGAATGTCACCCTTGCCACCTACATGCTGGTGGGAGAAGCAAATCATTGGTGGGAACTCAAACAAACCACCTTGCCTGTTCCAGTCACTTGGGAACAGTTCTTAGTAGCCTTCCATGCGGAGTACCTCCCAGAGCATATCTGACATCTAAAGGAGAGGGTTTTTTTCCAGTTAGTCCAGGGAAACATGACGGTGTCGGAATATACTTGTAAGTTCTTGGAGTTAGGCCGATACTCTCCTGAGACATTTATGGATGAGGGCAGGAAGGTTAGCAGGTTCCAGTGGAGCCTCCGCCCAGAGATCAAGCAACACTTATTTGTATTGGAGCTCAAGACATACTCAGCCGTTCTGGTAAATGCACAGTTAGTGGAGAGGAGCCTCCACACCCTTCCCCAGTTAGCAGGGAGTCACAGACCCTTAGCTACACCCCGCAGACCAGCACCTACTGCGCCCGTCCAACAGAATAAGAGGCCTAGACTGGTGATCCAGGCTCCCCCTCAGGCTCCAGTGGCAGGACGTGGTAAGATCTGTCAGTATTGGGGCAGGGATCAAGGGGACCGATTATGTTACTACATCAACAACACTTGTCGTATATGTGGTAGTGTCCAACACTATGCGAGAGAGTGCCCAAGGAACTAGAATCAAGGAAGACCTCCTATTCAAGGCAGGGTTTACAACCTCATCCAGCAGGATGCCGATGCCAACCCGGACGTAGTATATGGTATGTAAACTATCTGTAACCATTTTACTCATGTTTTGTTTGACACTGGTGCATCGCATTCATTTGTTTCACCTGTTTTTGCATCCAAATTTAATGTATTGTCTGATAAACTTGATTCGATGTTAATTGTATCTACTGCTGGGAGTGCAACATTACTAGAAAAAATTGTCTACAAGGCTTGTGCCATAGAGATAACAAATTGGAAACTGAGTGTAGACCTGATAGAATTAGACACATGGGATTTTGATGTAATTTTAGAGATGAATTGGCTAGCGGCATATCACACCACCATAGATTGTTTTAGCAAAAAGGTTGTATTCAATCCTCCAAATGGGGAGCCATTTATAAATGAATAAAATTATTTAGTACTTATTACTTGATGGCAATTTTCTTACTTGTCGAGTTCTTTAACCTTACTATTTTCTCTAACTAGGCAAACCTAAGAAAGAGAATTGTATTCAAGAGATCTCGGTAGTCCGAGACTTTCTAGATGTATTTCTGGATGAGCTGCCCGGACTACCAGTAGATAGGGAAGTGGAGTTCACTATAGACCTACAGCCTGGCACCCAACCTATTTTGGTTGCTCCTTACCGCATGAGTCGCGTTTAGATGGAGGAGCTGAGGAAGCAGATCACTGAATTGTAAGACAGTAGTTTTATCCGATACAGTGTGTCCCCTTGGGGCGTTGGGGTCACTTTTGCCAGGAAGGGAGATAGAACATTGAGGTTATGCATTGATTACAGAGGATTGAACAGGTTCACAATCAAGAATAAGTATCCC